CGAGAAGTATTAAGTATGGGAAGCCGTTGGTATAAACCAATATATATATATATATATATATATATATATATATATATATATATATATATGGGGGGGTGTGTGTGTGTGTGTGTGTGTGTATGTGTGTGCGTGTATATATATAGATTGTTAAGCTTTGGGAAGGCATCTTTCACTTATGGAATACAGCTTCATTGTGTATAAACTTTTATATCTCCATATTTCTGAGATGAGCTATTGTAACTATTTTCTCTATTCACATTGTTCGGGCTGTTGTCCCTATCTTCAAGGAGACATGAACCTGTGGATAAAAGCGTTGGTTGAAGCCAATTACCTGAACCAAAGTGTTGTGAGTTCACTGCCTGACTACAGCAGTAGTAAACAATAACCTGCAAAGTCGAGTTAAAGAGAGATAACTTATACTGAGATAAAGAGGTATGTCACGTGTAACTAGAACAATCAAACCCGTTGGATGAACTAAAAGATTCTCTTCGAAATTCGATTCACCTGAAGAAGGTCAGAGCGTACAACGATCGAAACGTCATGAATATATACACCTAGATGAGAACAACAGTCTGAACAATGTAAATAGTATAACTAGTTAAAATTCTGGATTTGTTTTAATACAACGTTTGCAATTCGTTGCTCGCCTCTTGTGTTGTAACATTAAAATAATCATCGATAATGTCTGTCCAAATTATATTGTGGACGAACAAATAAGGTTTTATTTAAAGAAGATTAGTGACACGTAGAGTAGGAACAATACCATCATTAATTTATTTAATTTATTGAAACGAGTTGCATTCAGTTTTCAAACAAGAATAAATCGCCGTATATATATATATATATATATATATATATATATATATATATATATATATATATATATATGTTTCATTAAAACGACGGACAAGAAACTACGGTTTAGCTTTTTATTTAATTTTTCTGGACAAAGGGTGTGTAAGAACTGTCCAAATGTTTTATATTTCCGAGCGCTTTCGGGTATACCTTTAGCCATTATCATTCCCTTCGTATTCCAATGGTGAGGTGTAAGTTCCTCGCGAGAAGCTTCTTCTCACAAGCCGTTGCTTTGGGGAACTGACACGCAAGAGGATGCTCCGTCGATTAATACAAACTTAACCTCTTCAAGTCTAGGGTGAACCGTTATCTTCCTCGTATATGCGCATAAAGTATGCTTCTTACTCTTCAACCATCTACCTAGAATGTCTTTCGGGCCTTGTACAGGGTGAACATTATTGTGAAAAAATATCTTCTTATTAGGAATAGATAAGTTCTTCTATGGCCATATTGACACTCCTCCTAATTTTTTTTTGAAAAGGAATGAAGGTTTATTCATTGTTTCCTATTTACAATTTCCTGTTCCTTTTAAAGTCTGCTTCAACTCTAGACTTGTAACCTCTTCGTCTGAACTCTGAAACTTTGTTTTATTTTATTTTAATAAGAGTAGATTGGTTCGTCTATCGTCCGGTTCATACTCCTCCTCCGGTCTTTGGAACATGAGTAGAGGTTTATCCCTTGTTCTCTATTTAGAATTAGGTCTCTGCTTCCTTCCAAAGTCTTTTTATTCTTTTTCACTCCCAGAAGCCTCTTGCGTTTTAATCGCCTTTTAGTAAAGTAATAATTATATATATATATATATATATATATATATATATATATATATATATATATATGTGTGTGTGTGTGTGTGTGTGTGTGTATATTATATATATAATTATTACTTTACTAAAAGTAATAATTCGGGCCTGACGTGTTGGTATAACAACGAAACTTTAAGTTGCACTTTGAACATAGGCATATGTATATTTACTAATATATATATCTTAGTTCTGTCTAACCACATTGAGCACTACTTTGCTTATGTCTTATGTTGAGTAAATATTCATTCGCTTACCTGTGTATGCACGCTAACGCACGTATATACGTTTACTAATATCTAGTTATATGAATCACCCACATCTCCCTCTCTCACTCTCTCTCTCTCTCTATATATATATATATATGTGTGTGTGTGTGTGTGTGTGTGTGTGTGTGTGTGTATGTGTGTGTGTGTGTATAACACAGGTCACAATCCGTGGTTAAGTAATCCAAGTGAATCCTAATAATATAAAATATTAAAACTGATCTACAAAAGATAGCTCAATATATTTATTATAGAGCATGTAAAGAAATTACATAAAAAGAAAACCCAATTGTACCCCACATATATAACTATTTCGCTCCTCGAGAGATTTTTCTCTTAGAGAAATTTCGTCGAACTTGTCAATAATAAAACGTTTGATATCGAACGTTCTAACCCATTACACGCGCCCATATATATATATATATATATATATATATATATATATATATATATATATATATATATATATATATATAATTATTTATTTAAAAATATGATTCCAAATCGCGACATAAGAAATCCCATGTTTCCTTCCTATTTTCTATATATTTTCTATATATTTATATATATATATATATATATATATATATATATATATATATATATATAGTTATAAATTTACAAGTGTATGGCATTTTTTTGTGAATTTTGAAATAATGCTCAATAAAATAAGTTATACAAAAGATCACATATTTTAGAAGCTATCCATATTTTGTCCAAGCACCCATTAACTAACAAAATCATTTATGGACATAGAATAGGAACTCGAAAATGAATTTAAACTCTCAATATCTGCGTGACGTCACAATCACGTGTCACGATATCATTTAAAAACGCACAAACAAAATTAACATCACTTATCAGAAAAAATTTAAAAAAGAAGCAAACATTCATTAAAACTGATGATGAGTTGCTGTCAATTTCTTGCATTTCTGAAAATGAACGAAGACACAGGAAAATTCAAAACAAGTGTGGACACATTTATCACAACGTTTCGGCTGTTGCACGCTCCGGCCTTCTTCCTGTGTTTGGAATGTCTAACTGAACCCTTTATTTCACTTACTGTGGTAGACTGCTTTAGTTCCACGTGCCATTTTTAATGGATGTCAGTTATCTTCTGTTAATTCACCTCTCCAAGTTCCCCCACCGCCTTACCCGCATATTGAACTCACAACTCTTTGGATCCTGTCACTGAATCTAACTAACGCCTTTATCCACTGTGCCATGTGTCCTTGAGAAATATAGAAAGATACTGAAAAATATAAGTCTATATTCATTTGGTCTGGCTTGTTTTACGGCAGATCAGTGGCCTTGCTGCCGGATGTATTTTATCGTCTTACCGAGGACGCGAATGTAGTGGGAACTGTGTACACATATTTTCAAATTTAACATCAAAATACGGAAATGCATTGAAAAAAAAACACATATTTATGGAAAAAATATATCTATATACATTTGGTTTGGTTTGTTTTACGGTAGATCAACCTCAATGGGTTATTTAATGCCGACAAGATTTTTATTGCTGGCAATATTTTTTCCAAAGGTATTGCTGGTTTATAATGTATTGTTGGTAATATTTTCTTCTTAAAAAATTATTGCTAGGAATATTTTTTACAAAAATGCATTGCTGGTATTAAAACCTATTTTTACACGTTTTGACCCCAGTTTGGGGTTAACTATTTGCCCATAGTTGGGCCCGGGTGGACTTTGGAACAATTAAGAGGTGGTTTCACCCTCCTCAAAACCTTCTGGTCAGAGTCCTTGCTGTCGGATGTAGTTTATCATCTTACCCAGGACACGCATGTAGTTTATCGTCATACCCAGGACGCTTATATTCATTTGAAGCTGTGGACATTTAACAGCAGCAACCCTCCCCTTATTGATTCCTTCCTTATTTTCGTGGAAAAGAATGACGGCTAAATGCTTCCGATTTAATAAAACATATTTAAATGAAGGATTGCTGAATAACTATATGATATTTTAAAATTTCAACAGCAAACTTAATCTGTTTTATTAATCAACATTTTTTTATGCATACACGAAGTACGATAGAAGAATCTGTTAGCAAAAACATTTTACATCTACATCTAACCATTTCAACTGAAAAAAATCATGAGATCTTGTCGCCAATTTAGTACTGCGTTTACATTCATAAAGTCTAGTGGAAAATTTATCAGAATAATTACCATGAAAATATTTATAGAAAAGGAACAGAAATGTTATATTACGACGGTGGGAAAGTGACTGAGGCCGAAATGCCAGGTTAAGACTAATAACTTTGCAGATTTTCGTTGGATTTTATTAAGAATCTCTAAATATATAGCAGGACCACCAGACCATATATAGTAGCAATATTCAAAGCAACAATGAATGGCAGAGTTATATCTATGTAAGATAGATTCGGACGAGAAAAATTGTCTAGCATGTAACTGTGAACCAACTTTTCGAGTAGCAGACCTAGTAATTTCTCCAAAGTCATGTTTCCACTACATGTCAGCGGAAATCTTTAGTCCAAGAAGGCGCAATGAGTCCTTCTACTGGAGTGTAGTGTCAGCCATGATGCAGTAAAATTATAAAGGGTTCTCTTAGACCATTAAAAGTGAGTAGTTTCGTTTTGAAGGCGTTAAGTTTAACAACGTTCCTTGCCCCATTTAACAACAGATTGTATGTCATTTTTTGAGATCAGCTGCCAATTTGACCTTACCGATCAAACTTACTATTAAGAGACGAGTAAATAATTGTACCATCAGTATAGATATATTCTTTGTCGTTAAGATCTTTCGTGGTCGGTATCTGCTTAATTTATTTTCGTATCTGCTTAATTTGTTTTCGTATCTGCTTAATTTATTTTCGAATCTGTTTAATTTACTTTTATATATGTTTAATTTATTTTTGCAAAGACATTTCTTAGGAATTAATGGATTTTTGTTTGTAATCAGTCATTATTTCTTATTGTTTTAAACGTTATATTTAGTGGATCGATACGTTTGACTTGTTTTGTAAAAGTGTCTTATGATTGTCTCGATGACTGTCAATTTATCTTATTGCTTTTTTATCTGTCTGCCTGTCTATTTATCAGTCTGTCTCTCTGTCTCTCTGTCTATCTATCTATCTATCTATCTATCTATCTATCTATCTATCTATCTCATTTAATGCTTGGATTTATCTTCTCACGTCACTTCATCCTCGTCTTCTCGCATCTATCTTTCAAGTGAAGTAATTCTATCACGCTCTTAATGTATATGTCAATCTAAATTGAAATTTGTCCATACCTCCTTTTCCATACTGAAAAATAATATCTGAAATTCCGTCATTTTCCACCATATCTGGGACATGTAACAGAGGACGGAAAGGCGAGGAAGATGTATTAGGATGGCCAAAGATGCATTCCAAAAGCTAAGCAGAGTATTAAGAGACAGAAAATTTCGTTGGTAATAAAGAAAAGAGTACTGAACTGTTATGTGTTATGTGTCCTTCTGTATGACAATCTCCTCAAAGATGGGAAAGAGACTCTAAGCAACAGAAATGTGGTTGTACAGAAAGATGCTGAGGATACCATGGGCCAAACATGTGAGCAACGACGAGATTTTGGAGCGAATGGAAACAAAAAGAAAACATAAGAAAGAGATAGTTGAAGTTTCTGTGGTACGTAATGAGGAAGGAGAGCTTAGAAAACTTGATACTCACAGGGACAGATTGAGGGAAAGGTGGACAGAGGAAATCGGCTCGTAACATATTTGATGGTCTTCAGAAAATGAATGGCGGAACAAAGTTTGGGAGAAATAACACAAACATAACACTTAATAAGAGCTACAAAGGACAAAAAAACGAGGAGGACCATAATCACATACGTCCTGAAGAGACACGTCATACAAAAAAAATACTCACAGGACAGATTGAGGGAAAGAGAGACAGGGGAAAGCTCTACGGCGGAAGAAGGTTTTAGAGAAATAACAAAAAGACAAAACTTATTAAGAAGTACAAGGGACAGCAAGATGTGGAGGGCCATGATAGCGTACGTCCTTAGGTGACACGGCCGATAAAAGAGCCAGTCATTAAATGTTTAAGTGATTTTGGGTTTACGGCATATAAATTTATGGGTCATTTAATACGAAATTTAATTTTTTTCGGAATTTTGAAGTAATAAAAATATAAAGTTATTCTGCTTTCACAGTTGAATACATGGTAGATGATACTCAGCTTTTGTGCATATATGTGTTTGTGTGGATATAATTCCTAGAGGCGGTGATATGTGTGTTTTATGTTGTAGATTTGCTGATACTATATTTTGGAATACAGTTTGATTTTAAAAATTGCAGTGTATTATATTGAATGTCAAGAAAGTACTTTCATGTTTAGTTGGTGGGTTATGTTTCGCTGCATATCAACGTCTATGAGTTATTTAATTCCGAAATCTAACTATTTTGAACCCAATTTTATGGTTTCAACAAAATATAACTTGAACATAATTTTATGCATTCAACTGCAAATAAAATATCTTGTTGGTTTTTTGTTATAAATAGGTATTGTTGGTAATTTTTATATAAAAAATATACAAATATTTTTTTTACATTCATAGTGTTTTGTTTTGGGGTTCTCTATTTTCCTATATTTGGATCCCTAACAGATGCTACCACCTAAGTTCTAGGTGGACTCAGGAACAACAATAATAGATGGCTTCAGGCTCCTGAAAACCTCCAATCTCACAATCAGCAGTCTTGATGCCAGATGTATTTTATCGTAATACTGAGTAGTGACGACATTAAAGGGAGATTACTCTAGCATGATATTTAACAAGTGTCTTTTGCAAATAAAAATGTTCTTGTGCGCCATTAATTTGATCATGTGACAAACTTGAGCTCACAGACACACATATAAAACGGCACTGACAAAGTGAGAAAGAGAGGCAGTGGGAGGAGTGAAAGTAAGAGAATAAAAGTGGGGGAGACTGTGAGAGAGTGGGGAAGCAAGATATATAGATAAAGTGGAATATTTATCGGGTGAAAATATATCATATTTATTTCCGTTACTATTCATTGACAGTAATCTCGTCATAAAAAAAAGAAAAAATATACAACTCGTTTTCTAGAAGAATGGCGAAAACACAATTTTAAGAAGGCTGAGATAAGCAGGGTATGTATATATCTTTCTATCGATTTAATAATTAATACATACGAATATATATATATATATATATATATATATATATATATATATATATATATATGGCACCATATTATATGAAATAGATTATTAATATTTTAATGTATTTTCTGTTTATACGTTTTTTTTAATAAATGGTCTGTTTTTTTAATTAAACAGTATTAATTACATTTACCAGCTTGGATGTTGGAGAAATTTCGTACAAAACATGCATCTTCCGACAGGAATCGAACCTGTAATCTAATACTAAATGTCTGACGTGCTATGACCGTTCAGCTACAGAGGACTTCCGGTTTCGCGAAGCTCGAAGTGCTGGTCTTAAGCACACACCTTCGCCGATTTCTCTCGTTCTACAATATGTGCTCTGAAATTGTAGCCAAATAAGTGTATCCATACCCACCCCCCAAAAAAAACGTATAAACAGAATATATATTAAAATATTTGTCGGATTTAATCCATTTCATATAATATGTAGTCATTGTTTACGTTCGGCCACAATTTCAGAGCAGATATATTTCAGAGGAAGATCGGCGAGGGTGTGTGTTTAAAAGCAGTAATTTGAACTTCGCTAAACCGGGAGTCCTTTATGGCTGAACGGTCAAGCACATCAGACTAAATGACGATTCCGTATAGGATACAAGTTCGATTCCTGTCGAAGGATGCCAGACCCCTCCCTGATGCAAACAAAAATAATCACACCAATAACTTATTCTATCGTAACTAAATATGCCCTAAACATAAACAGGATGAAAAAGCAATTAAAAACATAATTCACCGGTACATATCACTCAGTGATCGTAACAATCGCCTAAGATTTATCACCGACAAAATGTTTAAACATCAAAACTTAGTTATTATCAACAACACCGCTCCTCATAAATTTCTCCTAAGTAACAATAATGTTGTCTATGGATTCTCATGCCGTCTGGGGGATTGCATCTCAAACATTAATAATCAAAAATCAATATTAAATTGCATTAGGTACACGGCATCTAACTCTGCCATAGATTGACTTATCACCTGTCGGAACACAGTGCAAGACGTGCAGACATTGAACAACACATCATGAAAGACTAAAATACAACTATCAACATGAGACATATATTAAAAGATAAAACCAAAATACCCTAGAGCACCCAATGCAAGGAAAGACTCAGAACTTTTGAAGATATTATTGTACAAAATAAACAGTTCACATTAAGTAAAAATTTATTCATCACAGGAGATGCTATCTTGAAGTGCATATGATATAATTAATGGCTGTATATATTACATTGGTATTATATATATATATATATATATATATATATATATATATAAGTATATATAATTAGTATATACGGAATGAATTCAATAACCAACAATTACTATTCTTAAAAGAGTGCTCAATACAAAGTAGAGCAGATATAATTATTATTTATCAAAAAATTAAAACATAAGTATGTTATAAAATCACTACAAAAATAGCCATTTTATTTATTTTATTTTATTTTATTTTCAACATCATCACTTGATAAGACACAGAGTGTGTTGAAACAAAATGGCTATTTTGTAGTGATTTTATAACATACTTATGTTATAATTTTTTATAAATAATAATTATATATATATATATATATATATATATATATATATAAATATAATAAAATGCATTCTTTTTTGTGCGATCCTGTTGCCAATAGAAATTCTATCTACCACACAGACACTATATATATATATCTACATATATATATATATATATATATATATATATATATATATATATATATATATATCTTCAATCCGGTGTTCTAATATTCGCTTGAAGATGAACTAATGCTTTTAATTTAATTATATAATTAATAATTAATGGCTGTATGTTTAAATTCAAAGGTTTTAGCTTCCATTTTTGAACCCTGGTTATTACTGTGTAGCGAAAAAAGTATATTTTAAATCAGTTAATATATATATATATATATATATATATATATATATATATATTTTTATGCAGTGTTATATTAGAACATGCACATATCCACTACAAAATTGTACATTTTTGTTTCAACGTCAAAAAAGGAAAACCTTTTTTAAATGTCTCATCAGGTGTGGAATCACGATGCTGTATTTACGGCTCTACTTTTCGTACTGAGCACTGTTGTTAAATTAAAGTTTTGAACGCAGTGATCTTACTATTGGTTCTTCTACACTTTGATATATATATATATATATATATATATATATATATATATATATATATATATATATGAAAACATGGATATCTACTTAAACACACTTAAGTATTAACACGTATATCCAATAAATATACCCTGTATAGGAATAATATCGAATTTTTAAAAGCCTATTGCTTGATAATTATTTTGTTTTACATTTCGGGTAAATTAACAATGTTAATAATATTGACAAGTTTCAACGAACTGTATGCGATTCTTTAACAAAGTAACTGCGCACAGCCATTCTGTAATATTCTCTCCTAGCTTAATTGTGGAGTAGGCTTGTCTTGCAAGTGGCTCTGCGGATTAAAGCGAATAATTTGTTTCTTGTTGAGAGGTAAATTTTCTTGAGTAAGACCTTTGTTCTTTAGATCCGCTTATATTAAATTTCCGTACAAGGGTTTTAAAAAAATAATAGACTAATTCATTTTTTCATTGCTAATAACTACCTTAATCTATTTCCTTCCTTCCTTCCTTCCTTCCTTCCTTCCTTCCTTCCTTCCTTCCTTCCTTTCTTCCTCTCTCTCTCTCTCTCTCTCTCTCTATATATATATATATATATATATATATATATATATATATACTGGTCAGTGTGCGTGTGCAGACAATTCGCTCAGAATTTTTATGGCTGTGATATTGTAGCTGTTCTTGATGATGGAGTGGAAGAGAGCAAAAAGGAAAAGAACGATGTGGCTTAAAGGACACAGTGCATGACGGGAAGCAGACGGTAGAAGCAAAGGGCGGGAAACCCGGGCGATGAAATGGTCGTCGATCATAACGAAATATGGCCGTGACTTATTGCCTGTCGCGTAAACCTAATTTGGGCGTTGTTCATATTTCATCGAGAAGCGCTCGTCCGACCTTCGGCGTTGGCTGTGTTGGCGGGAGTTTAATGTATAATACCAATTGCTGGTGTGTAGATCAGACCGACATTGGCACAAATGAAGCGACCGATGCGTCTGGATCATTACGCATGCGTATAAAACATCTTTTCTCTCGCTTTCTTTTTTTTTTCTATTCTTTCTCCATCGCCGGACGTTTTGCTCTTTACTGAGGCGCATGCGCAAGTTTGAGGTGACCAACGTTTGACTTGATATTTTTTATTCGTTCCAAGTTTATGAATATGTTCAAGGGTTAAAAATATAATAAAGAAAAGAGATAAAAGAAATCGAAAAAAGTTAGTGATATATTCATGTATGTAGTCTCTCCTGCTGCTGCTGCTTCTTTCTTTCTTTCTTTCTTTCTTTCTTTCTTTCTTTCTCAATCTATCTACCTATCTATCTATCTATCTATCTCATTCTGTTCTTATCTATCTATCTATCTATCTATCTATCTCATTCTGTTCTTATCTATCTATCTATCTATCTCAGTCTGTTCTTATCTATCTATCTATCTATCTATCTCATTCTGTTCTTATCTATCTATCTATCTATCTATCTATCTATCTATCTATCTATCTATCTCATTCTGTTCTTATCTGTCTATATCAGTCTGTTTCTATCTATCTATCTGTCTATCTATCTCAGTCTGTTTCTATCTATCTATCTATCCATCTGTTTTTATTTCTTTCTATCTATCTATCTATCTATCTATCTATCTATCTATCTATCTATCTATCTATCTATCTCATTCCATTCTTATCTGTCTATCTCAGATTGTTTCTATCTATCTATCTATCTATCTATCTATCTTAGTGTTTCTCAAACGATGCACCCGGGCGCACGAATGCATACTGCAATGTAACTAGGCGCGCCCCAAGTTTAGAGAAAAGTAATTTATTAATTATTTACGTTAAAAAAAATCTTTATTTTTAAAAATCTAGAGACACCAAGCACATAGCTTCCATGTTTGTCAAGTCATTGTCATCTGATATTTTAAATTGGATGTTAAATTCTCTAACCTTTAAGAATGAGAGGATAAACTTTTCCCTTATGCCTTCCTCGGCGGATTTAAAACAGTCATTATCGGCACCTCTAAAAATAAAAGCATCTTCATAAATCCATTTAAATGAAAAAAAAAAAAGGCACGGTGGAGTAATGGATAGCTGCTCGGATTGAGGAATTGCAACCGAATCCATTACATTCCCTTACGGGCTAATACCCTTGGGAAAGGCATGAATCCTCTTCTCCTCTCCACCATAAATAGCAGGACGGGCCGAGTTCTGTAGCCTTGGATGGCAACTGCTCTACCGCAGAAAGAAATGGCAACCTACTGCGGGAAAGAAATCTGCCTCGTCAGTCATGCATCGAACGATATAGTCTCGCCTAAGCGTGTATCACGTATGGCACATTACTGACTGACTGACTGACCGCTTAAATATAAGATGTAATGTCCTAAAATAAATAATTATCTCAGGAGACCTCTTTATTATTTTCAAGTTTCATTGAAACGAAGTTTTCCTTATTAAAATTTGAAGAGCGCCCCAGATTTTTAATTATTCTAGAAGTGCGCCCTCCATTAAAAATGCTTGAGAAACATCTATCTATCTATCTATCTATCTATCTGTATATATATATATATATATATATATATATATATATATATATATATATATTAAATTTGATATATTTATTGGAGAAGAGTATGATAAATAAAGCATGTGCACATATAAGTAGTGAGGACATGGGAATCAACACCGCATTATCACGCTTCAGTTTTATCTAAGGACCGAGAATTTTGGTCTAAATATAGCATTAAAGCGTGAACGTAACAGTCACCATGCAGTGTTGATTCCTATATCCACACTGCCTATTCTATACCTACATATATATATAAATATATCAAATTTAAAACAAGAAAACCGCACACACACACGCACACATATATATATATATGGTTGTGTGACAGTATATCGCCGTGATGGTTAACAAATTCTGAACTTTATAAATACAATTGTGAATATATTCTTTATATATGATGTGTGAACACGTGTTGTTTGCAAAAAGGCTAGTAGATGGAAATTAAAATTATATCGTTTGATAAATAAATGACAACAGGGAATCTACTCAAATATGGGTATCCACTAAGCAATAAATTAAAATATGTCGGATTAGTAAATGAAAAATCTAATATATATATATATATATATATATATATATATATATATATATATATATATATTATAAATTAACTGATTTAAAATATGGTTTCTTGCTATACAGTAATAACCATGTTTCAAAAACTGAAGCTAAAAACTTCAAATTCCATTATATAATTAAATTAAAACCATTAGTTATGTTTCATCAAGCGAATTTTGGAAAAATTTATTCGAAGAAACCATATTTTAAATATTTATAATATTTATGCTCTGAAAATTTACATTGAGCACGCACTGTTTTGTAAAAATAAAAAATATCATTAAGAACTATATATATAACTGTTCTTTTCTTTATACATATATATATATATATATATATATATATATATATATATATATGATTATTTGTTTTAGAATATTAAAAACAAAGACGTAAAAAAATCACTAGACAATTATTTACAATTATGTTTCAACACTACAGACGTGTCTTAAATGTTACAGACAATGTAATTATACTTTATTTATTCTCATTTTACCCATATATATATATATATATATATATATATATATATATATATATATATATATATATATTTGTGTGTGTATGTATATAGTAATGTTAACAAATCCGTTAGTATATAATTCAAGTGGATCTTAATGATATAAAATATTATAACTGATCCATAAAAAAGAGTCCGATGTATTTACTAATACAGAACAATATCATTAATAAAGAATAAAATTCAAAATTACCTCATGTGAGGAATAGATATATGTCGTCTGTTGTATCAACGCGGGTGTAGACTGCGTTCGTGTCATAGGGGATGGGCTGGAAATAGAATTTAACTATGAAAGCTAAAAAAAAACAATATAGTGTAAAAATGTCGACATAAAAACAAATTCATATTTCCACAATATTGTTTTAGCTTAATTAGCTACCATAGTTGATAATTTGCCGGTCTGAATTAAATAGCGAGGTGTGTCCTTCGTTTTAGGGGAGAAAAAGAAGAGTGGACCGACCAACTCTATTCAAAATAAAGCATTTACTTGCCTTTTCATAAAACACACAAGCACGAATGTATAAACAATAAACGTTCAAATCCAGGCATGCATTAATATTGACGCTTTCAAATTAACGACCGTCCTTGATATGACGATAAACTACAACCGGCAGCAAGGCCTGTGATCAGGAGGAGCGTAGAACCACCTCTTAATTGTTATTCCCGACCTGATCTGGGCTGGTAGCATTTGTTATGGGGTCCCAGCTATGCGCAAAAAGTTAACCTCTAAAATGGGATCAAAACTCTATGAAAATATAGAAATAAATTTTTATAGTAAAAATACCAGCAATAAAGTAAATATTAAGCAACACATTTTTAAAAAAAAATATTTATGCATATTTTATTCATACGAATCTATCCTAAAAAAAGACTTGTCGGCATTAAATAACCTATTAAGGTTGATATACAGTAAAGCAAATTAAACCAAAGCAAATGAGAAGAACGACCCACTTATATATATATATATATATATATATATATATATATAAATATATTTACATAAAACAAATTCAAATTTCCATAATATAGGTTTAACTTAATTAGCTACCATATTTCCATAATTTTCTCTCTTCGCTACCTCTTCAAATGTCGACACTATAACTAATTCTAATTTATATATTTTCTTCCTCTGTTTTATATCCTCTTTTCACTATATTTATAAACTTTCCCCTATTTTAATACCCCCCAACTCTCTTTCCGTTAATCACATCCATTCTTTTATCTATGTCTTTCAAATTTATTGATAGACTCCTTTTTACTCCTATTTTAAACTAATATTTAAATAAATGCTCTGTTTATAATAAAGTGTAGCAATTCCATTTATCGGATTGAATGTCCGAGAAATTTTCTAGAAAATATGTGTACTCTATCAGGAATCGAACCTGTATCCTACACGGAACCGTCATTAGTTGTTTAAGAAGTGTAATTTGGATTTTGGTAACAAGACGCTTCCTCTGTATCTAAATGGTATAGCACGTCAGGTCAAATGACGATTCCGTGTAGGATACAGGTTCGATTTCTGTCATAGGGGACATAAGTTCTACGAACCATTTATTATAAACAAAGCATTTACTTAAATAATTGTAACTGTATAAATAACGTATAAACACTAAGATGCAGTAGACTGACGGGCCTTATATTTTAGATTCCGGGGAGGCAAGAAAACCCCTGCACCAGCCCTACATATATATATATATATATATATATATATATATATATATATATATATATATATATGGGGGGTCTTCGATTTACGTTAGAGATCCGTTCCTACGGTGCAACGTAAACTGATTTTCGACGTAGGTCGGAATTCACCTACATAAGCATCAACGAGTCTGCCTTAGGCTTGTGAACTATAATGAAGGGCAAAAATTTTCCCCAAAACAACACAAATGAGAGATAGCGAATGTAGCACAATCCAGTATGGCGTACAGCCCGTAAGGAAACAACGCCGTCTTCCGCATTTAGCGACGCGTGATGACGTATGGGAGATGAGACCTAACGCTGATTTTTGAATATATGGTGAACGAAAAAAGATGGTGGGTAACTAAAAGACGAGAAAAATGATGGTGGGTAACTAAAAGACAACAAAATGATGGTAGGTAACTAAAAGACGACAAAAATGAAGATGGGTAACTAAAAGACGACAAAAAAAAGATGGTGGGGTAAAAGACAAAAAAAAAAGATGGTGGGTAACGACAAAAATGAAGATGGGTAACTAAAAGACGACAAAAAAGATGGTGGGTAACTAAAAGACGACAAAAATGAAGATGGGTAACTAAAAGACGACAAAAAAGATGGTGGGTAACTAAAAGACGACAAAAAAGATGGTGGGTAACTAAAAGACGACAAAAATGAAGATGTGTAACTAAAAGACGACAAAATGATGGTGGTGGGTAAAAACGACAAAAAGATGGTGACGACGACAAAAATGATGGTGGTAGTAACAAAAAGAGCTAAAAGACAAAAATAATGGTAGGTAACTAAAAGACGACAAAAATGAAGATGGGTAACTAAAAGACGGCAAAAATGATGGTGGGTAACTAAAAGACGACACAAACAATGGTAGGTAACTAAAAGACGGCAAAACTGATAGTGGGTAACTAAAAGACGACAAAAATGATGATGGGCAACTAAAAGACGATAAAAAGAATGTTGTAGGTAACTAAAATACGACAACAAAAATGATGGTGGGTAACTAAAATACGAAAAAGATGGTAGGTAACTATACTCGGAGTTACTGTTTACTGTTTGTTAATATATATATTGTTAATAATAATAGTTATTAACCAGGACAAGTTGTCAGTTTCCCTGACCGAAACTGCAAGCAACGTCTTGGTGAAGTGGGCCATTTGTTCTAACATTTGCGAGCTTTTGATTTCTTTGTAAATTCTAATCCGTCGTCCTTTCCGTTTCGTGATAGTCAATTTTGTGCTTTAATCCTCACTTCGTCTTTTTTCCATAAATCATTTCACCCAGGAAGCAAAAAGATGACAACTGGAGTTGCGTTTGAATTTTTGGTGATCGTTATTGACAGGAAAGCCAGAAGAGACTTCCACAGGCGATAAGCGCGAGAGAAGAAACTATTAGAAGAGAACTTACGGTTGCATCTAGCAATTTCAAGAGTAAAATTGTGCGACCTAGCTGCCAGTGCGTACTATGCTTAAATTCATGAAGACGCTGTGCCAAAGAAAAAATCTCATCGGTGTGTAAGATTTAAATTGAGTTGATTTAAAATTCAAGTCGAGTTTGTCACATTCAATTTCGTACAAATATACTTCGGAAAGATATGAAACTCCTTCTCCCTTCTATTTGTGGTTTAAATAGTAAGACAGAATTCTATCTAGCCAGGTTGCAAAACATTATAGGAGAATGTTAAATTCGGGTCGAGAGTTCAATTCCATATTCGTTGTATTCAATTTCTCACAAATACCTACACCATTTGTAATCCGATATATTCGGATTAAATAACGGTGCAGAGAGAGCTCTCGATTCATGTTTGACAACCAATCAAGAGAATGAAACCAAAGAATACAAAATCGGATGTAGCCCTAGACAAGCCCACACTACACAGTCATGGAAAAAATTATGACGTTCCCAATTAAGTGCTGCACGGTGGAGTAATGAACAGCGGCTCAGATTGGGCATTCGAATTCCAGTGGAATCCGTGACATTCACTTATATGCTAATACCCTTGGGAAAGGCATGAATCCTATTCTACTCCTCCCCCAGCCATGGGTAAATAGCATGAAAGACCGTGTTCTATAGCCCTGGATGGTCTACTGCAGAAAGAAATAGCAACCTACTGCGGAGAAAAATCTGCTTCATCAGTCAGGTATCAAAAGAAACATGATCGTCTAAGCGTGTATCATACATGACACATAATTGATTTTTTAAGCTGTACGAGTTTGTGAACTTCATCATCTCGAGTGAGGTCGATGTTGTAGGTACGTAATAATTATCAAGCAAAATTATTTCTTTATAATTCAAATTATATTTTCAAAAGGAATCACTGGTTGTCAGCAGAAAGAAGAGCTGAACATACGAATTAATAACTGGAGATGTAAAAATCAAGCAAGTACAATGCTTTACTTATCCAGGAAGCGTTTTAAGAGAGAGATGGAAAATATTACATATTGGGATAGAGAATATGTCTTAAATAAATTCAGTTCCAAAAAGAAACCGTTCATTTCGCGCACAAAGAGAGCCATTAAGGAAGTGGTTGAAGTTAAATCGACTCCGAAGCACGAGGAAGATGGCAAAAGATCAGGATCTGAAGGAGGATTAATAACTGAGGTCTAAAACCGTACAAGATTCTACGACGACTTATGTCCCTCCAAGAATAAATGGCTTGGCGATGGAAAGGAAATGTTGGAGGAGTTGCAGCGTGTCACAGACAATATCTTCGTTTGGTTGGGTGATAAGTTCTTTTTCAGCTGTGGTCAACTAACAAAACTCTAGGGTTTACGCCACTTCACCGGGTAACATTCCTGAAGGTATCAAAACACATTTCAAGCGACAGAAGATAACTGGTGTCATGATTTGGACTGCTGTCGTTTGGAATAGTTCGAAATCGCCTCCGTATGTTCATTGAGGAAAGTGGGGGAAA